CCTAACTAATCCTACTAAATTGTATCACCTCATTTCTTTTGGTTTGCACAACGTTTCAAACCGTATTTCTCTTGTTTTGTTACTGAAGAAGTATTTCTTTACTATAGTGTTGATTTTCTTTTCTATCTTGTTTGGCATTGCGTATGTTCGAGATTTGGATAAAATTTTGAATTTTGTTAACAAGCATTTTCTTTCAAATGTTACATTTATTTGCATCAATTTGTATACTTCTTCTTTTATACCGTTCATGCATTTGCCCCAATTATCCCTGCTTTCATTTCCTCCTTCAAAAATAAAGCCCAATATCTCCATTTGCTTTACTTTTTTATATTCCGAGAGCTCGTTGAATCTTGTACTCCCAATTTTAGGCTTTTTGTCCAATGATGCTTTTCTATTCAGTATTAATATTATGTCATCGCAATACCTATTTCTTCAATTTCAATATTTCCAGGTACCGGTATTCTTATTCCTCCTATTTCCTTCTTAGAAATTCCTTTATAATTTCTTTGAATAATGGTATTAATATTTCCAGTGCTGTTATAAAAAGATATAAACTTAATGAGTCACATTGCTGGACCCCTCTTGCATTACCAAAGCATTGACTTATTCTACTATTGATGATAGAGACAGTTTCTTATAGGTTATTATGCATAGCTTACACCAATACCTATTTTCTTTTTCAAAACAAACTTTTATAATACTTATATTATATACTATACACATACTCAAGATCGATATGATCAAATCCTTTTTCGAAATCCAAGGATACTGGAAATCAGTCTTTGTAATCCGCTATTAAATACTGTATATCTTCCGCCTTATTTGAATTGATGTAATGTATTCTATATGTTATGTATCGGAGTCATTCAGTCTGTCTTTATCATTACTTTTTTTCTACCCGGTGGTCACTTTCCTGACCACGGTTTCTCGATCAGTCGACTTAACGTTTTCTCCCCGGGGCCAATCATATTATCATCCTTTTCTTCTTTCATCTTAGTCCGGCAGATAAATGGACCTTTTTGGCCCAAGTTTGATTTCAGACATAAAGTTTTTTTATTTGTGATTATTCATCTTGGGGTCATTGCCCATCATTTCTATATGGGTATGGAGTTTGCAGCCCTGAGCAATTTTTTTTACGGCTCGATATTTGTATTAGTGTTTTTCGTCAAACCTGTGCATCATAATGACGCACAACCTGAACTATAACCTGTTACAATACTATGTTCAGGTTGTGCGCAATCTTGGTGCACAAATTACGCAAGCACCAAATTTACTACTAAATAAAATCGATAACTTTTAGGTATTTGTTGAGCCCAGCTTTGGGTCGCGACCCATATACAGTATATGGAAATACAGTTGAAACATACGCGTAAAATAAAGAGTACTATTTCAAAATACCCATTTTTGTTGCAATTAACAAACAATACAAGCCTGCTGATGCAGTCGCCAGTGGTTCAAGTGGATATACACCCGGTGGAGAACAGGCAATTATTTGTTAGCGAGAATTGTTATGCAGCGGAATGATCGCGACGACGCAGTGAAAGATAATGATATCACGAGAACAAGAATGAGAAAATTGCTACATTTTATAGTATATCCCTGGGAAAGAATGTAGTTCATCTTATGTTCCATGCCAATGCTTTTCAAACTACCAAAGACTCTCAACACTTTTTCTTCTTCTCTTCTTTAAAAATACATTGGTATTATATATTCGCATTTCCATCTGTTTGTTCGTGCTCCCAGATAACCGATCAGCGGTCTCCAAGGAGGACGGAGTCCTCTTTCAAGAAACCCCGTCATAAACTGAAAGAGGCGACCGTGCTTCTCTTGCCTGTTGTCATGCTGTCCCTGGAATTGAGCTACACCAAAAATTCCACGAAAACGGATTTTTAAATTTCATGATTTTATTGATATCCTCAACAATGAATGATATACGGGTGGTAAAATGTCAAGTTATTCCAACAACATGATCATGTTTTGCAATTTACAACCGATATTTTGTATGTAACTTTGTTTGACAGAGCCCCAAGAGCTCTAACTACAAATATCAAAAATGTGGGGCCAAAAAAGTCACACTACAACATTGTCAAATGTGCTGTATTTACGATAGATAACAGGTTTACCAAAAATTACATGAAAAATGGTAAAATAAAGATCAATTCAGCAATATCTACTTGGTGATATGCATCTGTTGATGATTTTATGTGTTTGTTTCGGAAGTTTAATAACAGAATTAATTGTGGTTGTTGGGGATGTTTTAAAAAAAGGTTGCATGAAAAAAAGTTTTCACAAAATGTCAAGGTTTGATAGTAGTAGAGAAGTAGAAAAAATAATCCCATGTTTTTTTTTCATTTGATAACCACGTCACAGAACTTCCCCGATAAGTATACACAGCAATTGCGAGAGGCAGAAATGCCAAGATGGAGTTTCATCGCATTGCAAACCAATATTAGCAATTCTTATATAGATTCGCGCATTCCCATCTGAACAGCGTGGGAAAGATTATACCCACTTTGCACACTACACACTTTAAGAACTATGTCAGATGAGCGTCATATTATCGAATATCAGTAAAGGAATAGGGCAATGGAAAAAGACGGTTCCATTACATTTGAACCCACGTACATTTGAACCCATGACAATTGCACCTGTATGCTATTGCGCCTATGAAATTTTTTTTGTTTCACGGATAGTTAAACCCATACTAACCCTAACCCATGGGTTTAAGCACCCGCATATAGATTGAACCCGTGGATATACGCATGGGTTCAAATGTACATGGGTTCAAATGTACGGTCACCGGAAAAGACATATAAGGCGGAACTTTCAGTAGTATGCAATCAAATAATCTTATTGTAGAATATATATTTAAAAAACATTTCGTCACGCCAACTGTAGTCCGAAACATTTTGTCTCCGGCTGAGCTTAGATACCAATTGGCACTCATGTAAACTGGTAAGACTGTAAGAGGCACGCGATGGAGCAGATACTAAGAGTATCCATCCCCCAGCTGTCATTTGAGTGGGTAATGCTGTTTTTATTGCAGATGTTACTGATCTTTTTGTATTAAAGATTTACTGGCATCGCCGATTTAAGGATGTTGGAAACCAACACGCAATAGTACAAAACTTCCTTTCAACACGCGGTTTGAATGAATGAAAAACCTTAAACTAGTATTCTTTAGAACGAGATACAAATTTCATGGAATGAAATCATACACAAAAGCTCGTCAAAAACCTATAGCTCAATAATCAAGTGGAATTTGATGCATGTGCGCGTTACTACGTACAACCGAAGCACACAGGAAAATGTGTGTGATGTACTAGTATTCAAAACGTTTGACTCAACTATGTTGGCATAACAGGTGCACATCTCGGTTTCGCATACGCATACCTTCTATCTGCACAAGGATATATTAATTTTGCCAAAGTCAATGCAGCACTGAAAGGTTGCGGTTCTTCCAAAAGAAAACACGTTACACATCTTTAGATACCAATGTAGTTTGAAGAGCGCAATAGAAGATGGCTAGATGCTGTCGATGGATCTTGGCTTGTATTAGTGAAATAAACTACCATTTATTCTACTAAAATTGAATTCCTGACATTGTAAGGAGATTCAATGTTACTATGTATGCAAAACTAAACCATGTAGTTATGAAATAAGTGTTTTTGACAAAAAGGCGCTCCTGAAGTATTCGTACCAAGATGGCGCACAACCTGAACATTGTATGTTTACCACGTTAGGGTTCAGGATGTGCGTCATCATGGACCGAATACTTTAAATCCACTTAAAAAAATTGCTCAACATTATATACTCCACACCCACCTGGGTATTATTATATATGTCATATACATTATATCTAAACAATAAAAAAAACTTTATGTCCCAAAACAATGTTAAGGCCCGATTTTGCCGGACTATCTTATCATAAACCTCGTTCTCATAACCACGGTCTATGTCTCTGCCATTTCTTCACTCGACAGGTCAGGAGCGTGCCTGGCCACGACTTTTCTTTCTATCGACCAATGAATGGTATGTTATTTCATTATTTAAAGTCATAATCACGGCTCATTCTGGCATTTATTCTCCCGACCGACTGCTGCTCTTTCTCTCGAACTATCAACCAGTAGTAGTCCCCTTTCTTTCGAACTGGTTCTTTCTGTACCATTCCTCCTCTAACCCGGACGTGTGTCATTTTATTCACTTTCTTCTCTTATTCTGATTAATCTTGACCGGTCTCCTCCCTCTCTAGGTCAGAAGCGTGCCTGTTTTCGGCACTTAGTCCTCGGTTCTCGCCTGTTCTCCCAATCGACCAATAGATGTTAGTGATGTCACTTATTCATTTCAATTCATAATCACGGTTTATTTCTCTGGCAATTCTTTTCTCGACAGGTTCCTTTTTGACCTAGATCCTCAGTGGTCGTACCATTATTCTGGGACCCCTGGTTTTGACTGTGTTCCAAACACTGCACCTGTCTGTATGTTCCTCTCCTTCTCTCGCCCATTCCCATTCTTGGCTGGTTTGTGCCACTGTCGACCAATGTCTTTCCTAACCCCGGCCTGTCTGCTCTAGCTAGGTCTCTGATCTTACAACTCAGTGGGATTCGAACCTAACCTTGCATCTGGCCTCATGCATCAGTCTAACTAAAATCATATATATTCTCAAATAAAATATTATACATTTTAATATCCCACCTTATATTAATATTTAAAACGACATTGCATACTACACCTAAATTATTGAAACAATGACAAATAAAAAACTCATTCATTATTGCAATCGCTTACACTAAACGTGATGGCGGTTTGACAATTGAAGGTTGGTAACTGGTCTATGAAGTCAGAAATGACGAACCGCTAATATACGAAAATTTTCCCTTGATTACTTTTTGACCTCCCAGATGTAAGTGCTCGTGAACATAAATAGGTTTATAGTCAAATATTGTTATTTATTGCAAATCTCAAAATATACAAATTAGTATCAAATGTAATATTCAAAATACAGGATGAGGACAAAATAATCAGACTCGCTCTTGGTTGAAGAATATTTGTTAACATTTTGAACATCACACCCTAGGAGTAATTTCTTACAATTTTTTATACAATATTTATGTTCTATTCTTTCTTTTGTTGTTTTTATTCTTCGGTAAATTTTTTCTTGTTTTGTTAGGCTTCTTATTGTAGGGACTGGCCCAGCATGCTTTGTCATCTGAGAATTTACCTGCACAGTCTTCGCGAACGAAAGTGTTGCATGTTCTCTCTCTGAATTTCTTACCTTTCCCGCAAGTTGCATAACATGATCCCCATGGTCCCCACTCCGTGAAGTTTATCACTGAAATACATTTGATCAATTTGTTGTGAAACTACATTCAAAACGAAGAAAACTAGGTCAAGGAAAATATCGGCTTCAGTTCGGGAAATTTATTATGGTCGACAGCATTGTAAGTCGCACGTTGAGTTGACATGCTTATTTGAAAAAGAAATGTACATATGGATCCTTTACCAATTTTTTGTTGTTGTTTTTGTTGTTGTTATAAAAGAGAATACAAAAGTACTGAATTATTGCATACTTACTTGTCGCATTGTTAAAGTGTCTTTCGCGCATTTGATTCGAGCAAAGGTTCCCAAATGCACACGTGTCGGTCTTGTGGCAGCCTGTACATCCCTTGCCCTTCTTGTAAGGTTTACTGCATAAAAATCATTCGTGAATGTAGACTTGAACAGTGATTCTTTGTCATTCAGTATTCGAAATATTTTTACGCTATTCTCTATAGTTAAATCAGTGATACCTGATCATAATTTTCAACTTGTATGCGAATTATCACGCGTTCGTTGGCTTGTACCAAATTAAGAGCAATTTACTCTACGTGCCGAACAGGTTATAATAATAATAATATCAACTATAAGAAGGGTAAACATTACTTATGTTATGTATATTCATTTTCAAAAATACTCTTTTATTACATTGAGATAGGGATTGTACACAACATTGTTGTCAAAATATTTCGATATACTGAAAGACGAAAATAATCAATGCTTACGAGCCCGGCATGTTTCCTCCTGGTGAGTAGTTGCAGACAAACAGAGTAGCCCTTTTCCATACTTCGCCACCTACATCAACATTAGCACATTCCGTTGCTCCACATCCTACTCTAAACGTGTCGGCCCAAACGAGCTGGTAACATTTTTACATTATTTGTGGTTATTTATTCAAAAACTTGATGAGTTTTTCCAAAACGAAATTAATTATTTCGATAACATTCAGAATATAAAAAATACCTATATTGTTGTTTGTTTTACTTAGCAAACAAAACATTTGAAATAACCTGGGTGTAATGGCCACAGACTTCGAATCGTTGACATTTGTTTTTATTGTAATTAAAAAATTCTTTCTCATCATCTAAAGATTTCACCGCCCGGGCGGCATAATTTTCATCAAATTTCATTCCTGTTGATATAAATATATTTTCCCCAATCCAGTGAAATCTCGTGTGTTGAGGGTTCTATAGCAACAACAAAAAAGATCCAAATATTTCTCAACTCCTGTAAAATATTAGTGACTTTGTTTAGAATAGTTAAACCTACGAATAATGAAAAGTTCAACCACAATAATTTAAGGAGGAATAATGAATAAACATACCCAAACGTAATACATTTTGTATCATCGTGAACTTTATTGCGTCTCAGTATCGAGTAATATAATTTTAAAACAATATGATATAAACCTATTCATTTCACTAATAAGCATTGCCCGCTGGTGAATCTGTCCACATATTGACAAATAACGTGATTAAGTGACAAAATAAATGAATTTTCTTTATATCAATGATCATGTTTTATCTATGTACACGGTTTCTATATTAAGAAAAAAACGTAATAATTGCACCTACTTTGTTATGTTCCCATATGCATTTACGTGAATAAGCAGTTGCCAGTGATTCAAGTTCTTTGTCCCAGTGTAGTTTCCTCATGTTACTTGCAGGTGGTTTAACAATTCTTCTCGCTTTGTTATGAGCTACAAGACAGCTCCTTTTCTGGGCTCCTGGAAAATATACCACTGGGCCATAAATCATAATTCTATGGCGCTAGAAAATCTTTATGTTCAAATGAAAGTATAGCAATCAACATTACTGGTTAGTATTAGGTTCTTCACTACACTTGGCATTTTTCTTGGCTTCCTTCTTGCTCGTTTTTTCACCGATTCTTTTGGGGGATTGGTACTCCATCTGTGAAATCGGAACAATAGTTTTATTTTTAGTGTTTCAAGAGTTTTGCTGCACGCTAACACCAATACATTTCTGTGATGTTTGGTCTAACCAAGGCCAGACATCTGCAGACAAATATTATTGAATATTTATATTGAAAAATGTTTGTGTAAAGAATGCTGACCTTGGTCTTACAAACAGTATTAAATCATTCACATACTTCACTTCTTCGAACGCTTCTTCAAATGAATTTTCTGTGACTTGCGTGAATGCTTTGTTTTTTGGAAGAAAAACGTTCAGCAGATTTGAGTACCCTTTTTCATCTCTCCATAACCTATGGGGGACATCATGTTCGTCGAAGTCATGATCATTGAAGGAACGCTCAGAATCTTCTGCTTGAGTAAAAGTCGAATTTAATATTGGCACACATGCGAATGCCAAAAGAACGATCTGGAAAGTTTGCATTTTCATGCTTCAAATTTGATAACGTTCTAATTTGAAACTATTTTTTGCAAACCCATGAATTTATATTATCCTCAATCGAAACTAGTGCCAAGTCATCGACGTCGGCAAGACACGTTGATAGACAATACTGCGAATTGATATAATCAGACCGCGATTGGAATAGTAATTTGTGTACATCGTAAAATATTAAATTAACAAAAATTACCTAGAAGAAATAGATCCTCGGCAACGTCACTGAAAATGACAGTAAATATATATAGTATAATTCTACGGATAAAATGAATACCATATACACAGTTCGTTATTCGTTACATATCAGTATACAAATTGTAAACGGGTATTTGATATATCATTTTGAGGCTAAGTGTGCTTTTCATAATAGCTTCGCAGAAACGAGTGAAAAAATGTGTGTAACGTTGAGAGCCAAGTTAATCGACCGTTAAAATGTAGCTTAGAAAACTATCACGAATATATTATTGAAATTGTTTGTTTCAAAGCAACTCGTGTCAGGACGAAGAATCTGCAACTATAAAATAAACATGTAGTGTCGAGCTATTCTGCATGATGACGCTTTATTTCCGTTGCATGGACAGTTGACATTTTGCTGCGCCTCAACTCATTTGCCCTGAGCTAATTCTATCGTATAAAGAAAGCGAAGACTGATGCGCGTAATCCTAAATATGGAGTTATTTTCACAAACGATATGGCAATAACTGTAAGTAAACGTGAGATATCAAACATTTGAATTCAAGTCAGTACTATCAGGATGCCGGAATGAAGACGCTATATCTGATAAATGGGATATTAGTTTGACCTGACCTAGTTTCAGCCATACTAGCTACTTATTTGAATATTTTTTGGCAATAGACGATGTAAAGATACGCTTATATTTTTATTTTTCATACTCATTCAACTTTGTTCAGAGAAAAGTTGGGCGTTCTAAACTTTCTATAGATATGGGAGTTTGGTCAGTTAGAAGTCTAATTAACTCATTTCCATATTTGCTATACTCGGTTCTTAAGATCATATTCATAAGGGTACATTTTGTTTGTACACTCGTACTGTTTCTTCAGAATAGCTTTTTCCCAGTTGGTGGACGGGCTAATAAAGTCCTCGGTGGGCCGGATTATAACATGAATAGTATTCAATATCTTAATCACATATTTATTCGTTAATGCAAGAAAGAAAATTATAAATCGCGTTTAAAGTAAAGTTCAAACTTTACAAAAAATAGAGACCAAAAAACACATAATGAATTTATCATAATGTACTAAAAGTGTAATAATGTAATATCATAATGTACGCCGCGGGCCGTATGTTGCCAACCCCTGCCATAGAGTCTAGACTAGAGTGAATTTCAAAAATCTGAAATCAATGTCTATTATATATAGCAGTTTTGTATTCATGCGAGTACCTCTGCAGCTTATATATGAGAACTGGGATATGTATAATATTATGTAGTGGTGCCACTGAAACTTTTTTAAACGGAAGGTTCGTAACTATAGTTGTTCGCACACAATTCCAAACCTTTTTGTTTTATTCTTCTATTTTCATAAACATGAATATTTACTTAACTTTTAAATAGTCGTACCTCGTGCATTGCGGTAACTAATTTTAATTAAGAGTAATTAAGGAAGACTTGAAAATAATGTCTATTTCTTCTTTAGTGTAACCTAAATGTAGAGTCTATTTTCCCGCTGCTTAATAATGTTGACGGTGGCTGAATCTCTTCCATTATTTTCTAACGATTTGTAAAGAAAACCAATGTATACAAAATAAAATCGAACTGGTCTAGAATGTTTTTGTGTTCCTTTTCCAACAATTTGTACAGAAATCCTCAAACCTGTTATGGTTTTTGCCTATGTCAAATTAGTCTCTTATCCTGTTCTCATGTCAATATTTTCAAAATTTTGTTTTTATTAATTTGTGCAAAACCTCTCAAATTCACCTTGGATTTTCCTATGCCAAATTCTCATTTCCCTCTCCCATCACTTGGTCTGTCTCTGTCATTACTTTCTCTCTACCTGGTGGTCACTTTCCTGACCACAGTTTCTCGATCAGTTGACTTAACGTTTTCTGCCTGTGACATTCACATTAACATTTCCTTCTTCCCTCATCCTTTCATGACCTGCCTGTTCTCGACACTTAGTCCTCCTATCGACCACGACCTGGTATCGTTATCGACACTCTTAGTCCTAGGTTCTTGCCCGTTCCTGCTATTGACCAATGAATGTTAGTGATGTCACCTATTCATTTCAATTCATAACCACGATCTATGTCTCTGGCATTCGACCCGTAAACCGGTGGTCCCATTTCTCTGAAACGTTCGGTTCTGACTGTTCATAACGCCTCTGTTTGTTCCCCTCCTTCTCCTGCCCATCCCCAATTTCGGCCTGTTTGCGCCACTGTCGACCAATGTAGTTTCCAACCTTGGCCTGTCTGCTCTAGCTAGGTCTCTAATCCTACAACCTAGTGAGATTCGAACCAAACCTTGCATCTGGCCTCATGCTTACCAAACCTATACGCTTATTTTGCGCCAATGATACTGATGAGTGTCGTCGTGTTTAAAATCTTACTCAATTAACAGGTTTGATTATATATATATTTAAAGCCCTACTATAATTATATATATTTTGAAATAGAATACTATACATTTTAATATCCTACCTTATACTAAAACGACATTACATATTGCACATATATGATTAAAACAATTACAAAACAAATAGATTGAAATAAAAACAATTAGTCTATAAAGTCAGAAATGACGAGCCGTTAGTATAATAACTATTTCCGTAACTAATATTCAACCACACAAATGTAAATGACCATAATCATGAATAAATTTACAGAGTTATAGTAAGTTTAAGTATTGTTATTTATTGCAAATCACAACATTATACGAATTAATATCGCAAATGTTACAAAAGGTAAAAATCAAAATACAAGATAAAGACAAAAATAATCAGATTCGTTTCTAGTTGAGGAATATTTGTTAACATTTTGAACATCCTACCCTAGGAGTAATTTCTTACAATTTTTTATACAATCTTTATGTTCTATTATGTCTTTTGCTGTTTTTATTCTTCGGTGAATTTTTTCTTGCTTTATTACGCTTCTTATTGCAGGGGCCGACCCAGCATGCTCTGCCATCTGTGAATTTACCTTCACAGTCTTCACGAACGAAAGTGTTGCATGTTCTCTGTCTGAATTTATTTCCTTTCCCGCAAGTTGCGTAACAGGGTCCCCATGGTCCCCATTCCGTGAAGTTAGTTTATCACTGAAGTACATTTGATTAATTTGTTGTGAAACTAATATTACAAACATTTAAAAAGAAGAAACTAGCTCAGGGAAATATATCGTGTTTAATTCGGAAAAATATATTATGATCGACAGCATTATCTGTCGCACGTTCTGTTGACATCCTTTTTTGAAAAAGCATGGATCGTTTTGCAAAAAAATAGTAAATCAACGGTATCTGAAGCTATGGTACAATCATAATCAAATTTTCCCCGACTTTTATGGAATCTAAAATTATAATTATGTTTCTTATAGTGCGACACTGTCATCAAAGTGTACCAACTATCCAGTAAATGCAGTGCTTTGCAATGACCATTCAACTTACGAAACGAACACAAATTAAAATTTAATCTATCCGAATATTCTGACGGCTCTACTGGCTGCTAATAAAAATATAGTTCAAACAAAATATAAAAGCTATCCCTTTTTTTGTTTGTTTTGTTTTTAACAAAAAAATAAATCAAGTGATTAAAATATGAATAAAACCATGTGAAATGAATACTACAATAGTTAATTTAAAGACTATTGTCACTATCTTATACAAGCAAGCCCTGCGCCCTACATATTGAGAGTTACTTTGAAGTAAAAAAACATAGAATAAATAGAGTAAGATTACGATGAAGTTAGATTACGATGCGACTATCAACGCATATCAGTGATTTTTTGCATTCGGTGGATAACTATTTATTGACTGAACAGAAAAAAGACAGTGTAATCGGAGTATTTTGACCAGGGTTAGGCAAAGTTTTTGACTAGAGGCGAAAAAATGTGCCCAACTAGTCTTGCGGGCCATGTAAATATGACGTAAAAGGTTACATTTTATGAACAATATTTACAGTGTTACAAAAGGAAAATTGGAAAACAATAAGCCTAGTGCCCAAACTAAATTTAATCGCAATCTCAACAAATTCTATGAGCTAATTTTAACTAAAACATCAAAATTTGGTTATAGTTTGGTTATGGGCAGCATCAGGCGGGTCAGATTGAATTACTCAACGGGATGGATTTGGCCCACGGGCCGTAGTTTGCTTTGCCCATGTCTGATTTAGACAAATGCAATATATTTATATTGTGGCACCCTTATATGTAATAGCAAAAGATTT